AGGTATTTTACAGAGCTTCTTAGACCCACTTTGCTATGGAAAAAGCAAATTAGGTTCCCGTAACCTCCAGAAGGCGCATAAGTCACATTTTTAAAAGGACCTAGTAGCTTGACATGATTTTTATACAGGGTGTGTGATGAAAGTAGATTTTAAGTTAAATAGGCAAAGTATTATTGCCGACATCTGTTCTCATGCCATTCCACTCGATCTGGGACGCCCTGTATAAGCTCTGCAGAGTACTCTATTGCCCTCCCAACATGTTTTTTTCGATCTAGCTAGTTTATAGAATCCTGAACACCTTTTAAACTCATTCAACTTCTCTCTTCATGCACGTGAAGGCATTCAAAAGCTTTCCCGAACAACTGAAGGCTGTTCTGAGTCTTCTAGAGTGACTAATTTAGTGTCATTGTAGCGTGTTTTCTGATTGCGTTAGCAAGTATGCTCTAGAGAAGTTTTAGAAACCACGTGTGTGGCGATGGATCATACTTGGAAACTTTACATGGTCTAAGAGATACTGAATAGGGAACACATTCGTTAAGTGCCTTCTAGAGCCTTCTCATATCTTTTCAGAACACTTACTGTTCTCCCAGAACCAGTTGGCTTTTTCTGAAGCTTTCCAATCCTCTCCAAAAAGATAGAGAAGATTTTCAAACCTTTCAGAACCTTTTCTAGTGTTCCTGATCATTTTTGGAAGCGACTGGACTCTTCTTGTCCTGGTATTTCGCTTTCTGTATCAATACCTGTTAACATTAATGGAAAGATTACTTTGATGGAGGATCATTAGATGAAGACGATTTTGAACACAATTACAATGTGGGAAATTAATAATTAATTATTATACTGTAAGATTAATTTGGTACTCACTTTTTTCAGGATCTTAGTTTTACCATTTATTTCCTGTAAAGTAAGGACAGGACCTTAAGCTGGAAATTGTTCAAAAGCCTAAAGATAGTCTTGAAAAGGGATATCCAACCCCAAGCGTGCGGTTGCGCAAATCTTCGTAAATACGCGAAATAAAATTGCTCCTCGAGAGGCGTGCCCTAACAACCAATAGGAAACCCGCAATTCGGCTTTTTAGCCAGCTCAAGTCGAATAAACGCAACGATCGTGGTCACCGCGCTTGCTTCCCCCAATACGTTTTCTGTTATCGCCAGACATACTTATGTTCACGTTCGCTATAAAGCGGTATATGTGTAAATATTCAAAACCAAATTTTTGAAACGGCCGCCGCCGCACATTGACGTATACTTCGGCATGCAACCAACTATGAAATTGGGGGTGAGGGTGAAAATACTTTTAGTTCCTTTCTGCAAATTTTATCAGAATTCAAATAATGGAGAGACTACCCTAACGATCATTTTAAATGTCACTGGAAGGGAACATGCGCCCAATAAATTTATGTCCTTGCATCTAGAATATAGGTATACATCAGTCAATGAGGTTGAATGAAGCTCTCCACGTCTTTGATGCAAAAATACAAAGTCAAAGCTACTATTACGTCGTGTTAGTTTAATTTCTCTCATTTCCAATTATACGGGAGAGAGAATTGCCTACAATAAATCACCATTCACCGCGAAGTTGTG